TTCAAAGTTTTTGTCTATCCATTGTGCCGTAAGACTAATCATGCTAACGGGGCTAACACAACGTCCAAATGTCTGTGGTAAAATTCAACCAACAAGTCGTGCTATCAGCTATTAGCTTCTCAATGATGTCAGAAATGACTGCTGGTAACTCGGGTAATGTTACGTCGGAAAAATATCTCAGACTGCGGAAGATGTAGCGAGGCTCAATGTAGTCCATAAATCTTCAGAATCCGACATCCTCACCAACGAAAAGTAAAACTTCCACACCACTGACATTTTGAATTGTCCTCTCCACCATGAGATCAGGTAGGCGCACGTGACATCATCACATTGTGCTGCCCCTGCAGGTAAAAACAGCACCTTTTATATCGGCGAGTTATTTTAATAGAATGGTCGATGTCTGATATTGAATTTTAACACTAATATCAGCCGATACTGATACTGTGCCGATAATATTGTGCATCCCTTTACAGTAGTGTTTCTACTTGGCAGTTTTTTCACCTAATATAAGGTACATTATATAAGGTAATATAAGATAATTGAGGGACTATTATATTTGCAAAACTGACTATGTTATAGCTATTATTGTGTTGCTGATGATGACTGACGGTGGTGGCCATTTTAAATCAGATTGGTTAAAATGTTGATGAGTTTAAGATGAACATTCAAATATTTCTCAAAGAAATGACGACTAAAATTAACTCACTGCTTCATGAAACCTTTCGTTATCAGACAAACAGTTGACTAATCAGTATCTTGAACAAAGACCTTGCACATTAAGTAGTGCTTGAAACACGTGTTGAAGATCACTCTCAGCTACTACCATACCAATATTTAACACAGTATCTGTAAAAGTGGCTGAGCTACAGCTATGTTTGCCGTGGTTGATCAGCTGTGGTGGCCATCTTGAATTAGATAATCAGTTGTAAAGGTACTAATGCATTTCTGCACATTTTGACATAATTGGTCATTAGATATTTTGATATCTAATGTAATATCTAACATCTGGCATTATATATTTTGCTAACAGACAAACAGAGTTGACTCCCAAGAGACAAAATTTAAATCAAAGATTTTGCACAATCTGTTAGCACTCAGAATTGGTTTTGGAAATCAATCCCTGCTTCCAAACAAAAGTTTAATTTCTGTGAAACTGAGTTATACTCATTATTTTACTTTTAGAATCAGATGGATTTGGCAGCCATGCTGAATTGTTTGCACATGCAGTCGATTATGTTTTTGTTTTTTAAGAGTGTGACAAATGTATTCAAGTAAATGCTTAGCGTCTGCTTCTGATTTTGCAGCCACACTCCTCCAGAGGCACGCACAGCTGCCAGTGTTTTACGTGCTGCGGCGCTGCTTTTAAACCATAACCGTTCCTTGTAATGGTCTAGAAATAGCAGCACATCTGAAAAAGTTACTACACCAATAAATTCTAATGACTAGCGTCTCACAGACAGCTCTGCTTTTAAATAACACACGGCCCAACGTTGATTATAATGTTGCGGTTGCAATGCCACTCGCCCTGTACTTTTTTTTAAGTAGTTAAAATTTCCCAAGTAGAACGAAAGCTAAAGAGCAAAGAAGTCAGTTTTTATTCAACCCCATAATCTGCCTATAATCCATAAAATTACACCTGTCACAAGAAAGTTAGATTTATTAAAACTACTTCCTGATCCGAAGAGGAAAAAAACGATTAAAACGCACAAAGACCTTCAATCAACACTTAATTAACACAGCAACCTTTTCCGCATACTGGCAATCACTTCCCTATCTGCCAGATTAGTTTAAGGACGTGAATACAGATTAGAAATGGCCGATGCAACTCCGAGACTCGGCTGTGGAGAAAATAAGTTAGCAAATAAACGAGAGCAGAGGAGGGGCAAAGTGGCAAAATGGTGGGAGCAAGAGAAACATTGTGATGCTGCAAAAGTCAACTTTTACTGCCCACAGTTATGTCAAGTTAAGTGTGTCACATCAGCAGAAGGATTCCTTAGATAACCATTTGCAGAGTATATTTCTGTGCCTGCGTATTTCCTGCAAAATGGGGATTATTAGTGGCAGCGCTTTCTGAACTGAGAGTAAAAAAAACATATTTGGAGACTGACCTGCTATAAAGGCATTTATAGTCAGGGTTCTTATTCACAGTGTGCAAAGCACAAACTAGTTTTGAAGGAGCAGAAATAAAAGAAAACCATATTAGGTGATAAATATGGTTAATTTTACTAATAAAAAACTTGAACTTCACATGTGAAAATCAAGTTTTCACTTGTGAAAGTTCAAGGTCTAGCTAGAATTCGGGAGTGGTGGTGCAGAGGTTAGAGAAGGTGGGCCTGTGATCGAAAGATCGCCGGTTCAACTCCCCGGTACCGACAACATTAAAATGTGGGTATGAAAGGTGAAGCACCCACACCTGCTTCCACCCTCATTTGCCTCAGTCTCTGGACCCTTGAGCAAGGCCCTTAACCCCCACCAGCTGTACCCCTGGGCATCCTAGATGGCAGCTCTCTGCTCCACACAGAGGGCTGTGGTAGCTCGATGGTCTGTGGTTGTGTCAGGAAGGACATCCGGCGTAAAAATAACTGACAAGTCTTCGTGCGACTTAGTTCACTGTGGCGACCCCTGAAGAAGGGAGCAGCCAAAAGAAAAAAAGTCTCATTGAGTCATGAGGACTCATTTTTAAGAGAGACGTGTTTTAAACATAAACCACAGATGAGGTTAAACAGCCATAAAGTGCATATAAAATGAAAAGTAAATACAATTAGTGATGTGATATAAAACAAAATAAAATCAAGCTACATTATGAAACAAGGTAAAATACTAAAAACAGGAATATGTTTGCGTTGATTTTTGCATTGAACTTATCAGTTGTTTAAAATTCCTTAGAGAGGTCAAAGTTGACAACTTCACGTTATCTTTTTGCAAGTTGTTACAGGTTACAGGAGCAGAGTAAGAGAAGTCCCTTTTTGCCAAGTGCAGTCTGCACTGAGGGAACACTGCAGGTAATGATGTCTTGAGAGCGCACGCTGTAGCTGCACTGACGACTTGACATAGGAGGAGATATATGAAGGCAGCAGACCAAGGAGTGATTTATAGATGAAGATGTACCAGTGTAAATGGAATGATAAATGGACTGTACTTATATAGCACCTTTCTATCTTATCAAAATACTCAAAGCAGTTTACACTACAATCTGTGCCTCATTTAATCATTCATACAGAACTCTACTAGATCTCTACAAAGCTAATTGAACAAATCATTCTAAAGCAGGTCCTGCTGCTCAGAGTGGTGTCTGATTTTAATCTTGAACTGACCACCTCTACTGCATCATCAACAGGAGTGCACATAAAGAGTGATGTGACATCAAAAGAGACCATTGTTTCATCAGTCTCCATGATGACATCCCTCACCTTATCCACAAAGTCCATGGTGTTCTGTATGTGGTGTTCTGAGCTGCCAACTAAAGGGATGAGTACAGACGCCAGATATTTGAAATATCAGATTGAACTTTTTTGGATTTTTCTACCTGGATTATTGAGCATGCATCAGGAAATCGTTGATTATGTACTGTGAAGTTCATCCACATCTTCATGAGATAGTTTGCATTGAGAGTTAACACCATGTGGATCATGATCTTATTTCCACATGAAACATTTTAAGCATGTTTATGTGAACACATGGTTTTTCACATGGACTCACATGTGAAAACATGACAAATGAATTTGTTTTATCTGACAGTTTTTCACAAGGAGACAGTTTTCAAATAAAACGTGACCTCACTTTTTATTTCCAAGAATAAAAGAGGTTGATGTGAAGTCATTTTAATGCTGACCTTTGCTGCTCGTAGATGGACTCCTTCCTGCGGCAGTGCAGAGTGACCACCCGATGGCCTTCACTCCTCACATCCTGGCTAACTATCCACTGAGTTGGGTTGCTGGGACGAGCCCCGAGGAACGTCACTCCTTCTTTCAACTTCACTCTACAGAGAGAACAAAAAAAAAAGACATGAACTGTGCATATTTTTACAAAGATTCCCATTTTAGATCCTCACTTGAGCAAATCCTGCAATAGATTCAGTAGATTCCTGTAAAAATAAGTTACATTTTTATAAACTTATCGCTATGTTTTTGACTGTTGTATGAATAAATTCAGATTTCACTGCATTACCTTTCCCTGCTGTGACACAGTTTAAAAATAAAAAAATAACAAGACTGCTTCCATTTCCCAGGAGAACAATTGATTTTAATAAATAAAAATGTAACATCTTTAACGTGTCTGCCTCAAACATCATTTGCATACATATTTACCAGTTTACCTTCAGGTTTGAAATATATTTCAAAATAAAGCCAAATCTACTGATATTTCTGTGGTAAAATAGCTGTTTGCCATTAAATCAGGGTATTAGTACAGCCCTGTTATGCTACTTTCCCTCCTTTACCTGCCTCAGTAATAGAATTTCTTCATGCAGCATGAAAAAGACATTATGGAAATGTTTCTTTGACTGGCAAAGTTACATCACTGTCTTTGGTTCAGTGGACTACAAAGAAGGGAACATATCTATAGGGAAATAAAGCAAATAAAATCTGAGTAAATGTAGTCTATATTACAAAGCACACCGTGTACAGAGTCTGAGTTAAAGGTAGAAGCGCTGACACATAATAGATTTAGACTAATGTTCCATAACATAACATATTCAAAGGCTTGTGTGATTTTATCTGCGAGTGACAGTGAAGTACCAAGATTGAAGAGCAGACTAAATTAAAACAGAAGGCCCAATCACTTTCCCTGTCCAATCCATACCAGGTTGGCAGATGAGACCAAAGAGAGGGCTTTGCTTTCATCTTGAATTTGTTGCTGCCCTTTTTAGATGCAATTGCCTATTTGTCTTCCGATGAATATATCTGCCCTCCCCAATCAGGCTCACTTCTTTGATGTGATACCTTGTCATGTTAGCTGCAGGTTGCAAGTGAGAAATCAAAATAGCAGCAATGATAAACAGCAAATCTCGAGGGTCAATTTAAATGTCTGTGCATGTTTTATATTATGTGTATAAAACGATTCTTTGTATTCCTGTCTGTCTGAGATGCTTCTTTTCATGTTGTATAAAATATCCATTGATTTTGCTACAACTTCACTTGTTTACATTTCTGGTAAGATTTAGGCGTACAAGGTTTTAGACAGTGATTATTTGTAATATTCCCCCTTTCAGACTTTGGTGTGCATGCTGTGAATTGTACAGGTATTGTTCCACCTGACCAGGCTAGCTTTACAGAAATGCATGAAATGAGTCTGACATTTAAGCACAGCATCATCTTTTGGAGGCACATAGTCTGTTAAAATAGTGTTACCATGGAAAGTGAACATCTTCTCCTCCATTTGCTATAAGTCATGAGTCTGTCAGACCTGTCGGCTTGGTTACCAGGGAGCAAATCTCTGCCCCAGGCAGTAGAGATGACGTCACTTCAGTGTTAGAGTCATTCATTTGAAGCAGAAAGGGTTGCTTTTGTTTTCCAGGTAAACTCAAACTGAACCACACATCCTCAATAAACTAAGTAAAATGTATTTTGTATTCCAAAACCAAATTAGTTTGTCAAAAATGACAAGTAGATAAATTTACATTAAGACACCAAAAGCACATCATTAGTATTCCCTTTGATAAAACACTATCAAGCCAGGCTTGAGACACATTTTTCTGGCCTTGGTGTGATCTGTGTAACAAAGGCAGTGTGGGAGGTCCATCCACCACTGTTATGTCTCTGAGCAAGCAAGGGAGGTAGTCACAGAGCCAAACTTGAAAGTATGTTTTAAATGGAGCGCAGTTTATGCAGCAGTCCAATCTAACTCTGCTGTTGCTGATTTCATGACGCTGACTTCATGCTTGTAATATCATGTTGCTGCAGTACTTAACCAGCTAGAGTGGTTCTTCTGTTAAAAACTGGAGGCAGCTTAACGATGGGCTTGTCTTTGCAGCCTTTAGGGTGGGAGTTGGTCTCCGCCAGGGCTGCCCATTGTCACGATTCTGTTCGTAACTTTTATGGACAGAATTTCTCAATGCTGCCAGGGGGCGGAGGGAGTCTGGTTTGGTGGCCTCAGGATTCCTTCTCTGCTCGTTGCAGATGATGTGGTCCTGTTGCCATCATCATGCCGTGATCTTCAGCTCTCACTGGAGTGATTCACAGACAAGTGAGAAGCATCTGGGATGAGATTCAGCACCTCCAAATCTGAGGCCATGGTCTTCAGTCGGAAAAAGGTGGATTGTTCTCTTCAGGACGAGGGTGAAGTTCCGCCTCAAGTGGAGGAGTTCAAGTATCTTGGGGTTTTGTTCACAATTGAGGGAAGAATGGAGCATGAGACTGACAGATGGATTGGTGCAGCATCTTCAGTATTGCAGAATTTGTACCAGTCCGTTGTGGTGAAGAGGGAGCTGAGTTGTAAGGCAAAGCTCTCTGTTTACTGGTCGGTCTATGTTCCTACCCTCACCTATGGTCACAAGCTCTGGATAGTGACTGAAAGAATGAGACTATGGATACAGGCTGTTGAAATGAGTTTCCTCCACAGGGTAGCTGGACTCTCCCTTAGATATAGGGTGACTAGTTCAGTTATCAGGAGAGACTGAGAGTAGAACCGCTGCTCCTCCACATCGAGAGGAGCCAGTTGAGGTGGTACAAGCATCTGTTAAGGATTCTTCCTGGGCACCTCCCTAGGGAGGTGCTTCAGGCATGCCTAACTGGAAGGAGACCCCGGGGAAGACCCAGGACAAGCTGGAAAAACTATGTCTCTCTGTTGGCCTGATAATGCTTTGGAGTCCTCCCAGGAGAGCTGGAAGAGGTGGCTGTGGAAAGAGAAGTCTGAACCTCCCTGCTCAAGCGGCTGCCCCCACGACCTGACTTCAGAACAAGCAGAAGATGATGATGGATGGATGGATTGTCTTTGCAGCATATTGTGGTCTATTAAAGTAGTGTCTCTGTTTTTGGACCTTTTGTTTTACCTAGGGCCAGAATGAACTAACTTTAATAATTAATTTGGGCAATAAAAGTTACATTACAGTTAGTTACATCAAATGTTAGTTTACTTTTTTTTTATTATTATTTTTTTAAGAAATTCAGAAAAACCTCACAACAAAAGCACTCTGTCACTCCAACAATACAGCCTTATAGGCTACATGTCAGAGTCAATGTTCAAGCCAAAGAAAGAAAGCATACTTTGAAAAACACTGCATGAGCATACAACTGTAACAGAAAAGGCTCGTGTACAGTCCTCCAGAGGTCCCAACGGGGGTAGCAGGGTCTTGTATCTGGTTTTGTTCCACTTCAGTGACCAGGATGTCTATCAGTGGTTTCCAGTGAGCTCTGAGAATGTTTTAAATTGAGCTGAGGCTCAAAGGGGAGCCAGTCATTACTCCACAGTCTATATAATGCCCACAGAACATTGCTGTGGAATGGTTGATGTAGTTTTTATTGACTTAATGGTCAATTTGGCCTTGTTGTAACCAGCAAGCGTAGGAGTCTTGTGTAGGTTAAATAGTAGGCAAAAGTCTCTGTCACTGTCTGAATAATGATCAAACCTCAGTTGGGCAAACTGTGTTTATTGCTTCGTTCTATTTGCATTCAGATGTTCCAGTTTATAAATGAGCACTGTTGACAAGTACAGATAAAGAGAATGCTATTTATCACTTGATTATTCTAGATATTGTATATCCTGTGAGAAATAAGAATGAATGTGTAACAAATGTCCATTATTTATAGAACATATAAGACAATATAGGCACAGCGCTTTGGATAGGATTTGGTCTCAAAGAAGACAATTTGTACAGCTTTAACAGTCAATTGGTATTTATTTATTTATTAACCTAATTTATTTAACCAGGCAAATCCCAATGAGATCACAGATCTCTTTTGCAAGGGAGGCCTGGGCCTGAAGGTAAACTAACATGGATGTTTTTGATCTGTGGGAGGAAACCTGAGTACCCAGAGAAAACCCACACAAGCATGCAAACTCAAGAAAGACCCCAGGTCCAACCAGGGATTGAACCCAGAACCTTCTTGCTGTGAGGCAACAGTGTAACCACTGAGCCGTCGTGCTGCCTATTAAGTAGAAAAGAACACTTTCAATATAAATCTGTTTCGTTTTATTTATTTATTTATTTTACTTTTGGCCATTTCATGTTATATTTGCTCTGCAGATATGTAGCAGGGCTCTACACAATGGCTGTTTGGAAATGTTTGGAGGAGGGAAGAAAATATCTAAAAGAAGAAGGTCCTGGGTTAAATCCCCAGATTAAACCTGAGTTCTTTCCATGTGGAGTTTGCATGTTCTCCTTGTGTTTGGGTGGGTTTTCTCTGGGTACTCCAGTTTCCTCCCACAGTTCAAAAACATGCATGTTAGGCTGCCTTCAGGCCCAGGCCTCCCTTGCAAAAGAGATCTGATCTCAATGGGATTCGCCTGGTTAAATAAAGGTTAATAAAATAATAAAACAAAAGCCAGTAAAATCTATAATCCAAGACGTGGAAGTGACAGAACCTTATTATTAAAATTGTAATAGCATACTGCAACACTTGACTTAAGTCGCATGCTATATTCTATATTTTTTTCTGTAATAAACATACTGAATAAGGATCAAACCATTAATCGTTCTTTGGCAAATACAGTAGCCTCTCAAGCAAAGCCTAGAGGGCAAATATTTGAACTACAATGCCTAAATTAAAGCCAGTAGTCAGTAAATACAATATCTTGTAGGTTATAGCCAACATTTTGGTAAAATCTGGGCTATTGCTGTGTCAGATGTTTTCTTCCAATAGCTGCAAACATTGAAAACTATTTTGTACGAGTTCATTCACCTTTCTTGTAATCCTTTTTGAAACTTAAGCATTTCCTGACATGCTTGTGATGACTGACTGTATCAAAAAAGCGAACCATTGCCACCTCAGTTCACCTCCCCATCCCAACGTCCTCCTCCGCCCACTCCACCACACCACCACT